TTTCCTTTTTCCTTTTTTTATAAATTTAATTCTTATTTAGTGTGAGTAACATTAGACTATTCTTTTTCTGTAATCTATGCCAATGTAAAAATAGTTCCTGTTTTATAGCTCCACGTCCCAAAGGAGCCTTGGTATTTATATTGTTAAGCAATAGGGTTTAAATAACATGAGACAGTACAGTATCTTTGGATCATGTCAAAAAAAAATTTATACAGACCTATAACAGAAATTTAGGTTGTCAAATGACATATTTGCATTTGCCCCACCATAATTTTTTTTTTTAAAAGAGATGATCAAGCTTAGATACTACTGGTTATTATTTATTTACAGAAGTTTGGTGTATCTATGCTTGAAAAAACCTTAAACACAGAATATAATGTTCCCTAGAAGAACTGCGATTTGAATGTATTTTAAAACTTCTATTTTACATATGTTTTGGTACTGTCTCTTTAAGAGACAAATGCCTCATATTATGTTAACTCCTGATTAAATATCCATATGGGTTTGGCCTGGTAGGTCATGTTCTATAATAGCTTTATAACTTGGTTATTCAATTGAAATCCAGTAATTAAACATTTTTGCACTGCACCCAACAGTATTTATGGCAGCAAATCATAATTTGTTAATAAATGAGCCCCATTGTATAAGTTTATAACACTGTCAGGACGACCGGATGGCTTAATGGAGAGAGCATGGGTCATTAACATGTAACAAAACCCATTGTCTTTGCACAATTCCTCCATAATGGATAACCACATCATCTAGGCATATACATTTTGACATGGGAGTTAGAAATATGAAAACTTCCCTATATTCCTCTTTAATAATACATTATTAGTTTAGGATTAAAAAGAACAACATCAACATTTTCCCTGAGTGATCAATATTAAATAAACACAGTAACTAGTATTTTTTCTCAAGAATAACCGCTCGCAGTGTGGACCGAGAAGCTCCGGTGTCCACTAAGCACTTTACTGGGGTTTTGTTAATGGTGCTGGTAACATAAGGGCCAGATTGATTCAAGGGGATAGCTGGGGCAATAAGGTCACATGAAGGTCTCACGGCTGTTCTATCTATAGTCCACCTGTGCGGGTGGTGCAGCCAACGGGACCCCCACGGTGGGACCTGGGGCCCTCCTTGTTCTCCATAATCCCATCGATCCCGGTGGGGGCAGAACCTTTTGATATGTCCCTCCTCTCCACATCCATAGCAACAGACTGGCAGGCCTTTGGGGCCTCCGCCTGTCCGTGGCATGGCAGCAGGGGGCATTCCTCCCCTGGTGTTTCCTTCCCCATACCTATAGGGTCGATTGGGTTTCTTTTCATTGTATAATTTTCTTCCTTGTACCTTGGGGTTTAAATTATTGATTTGGAGAGCCATTAAGTTACTTTAAAGATTAAATGCTAAATACCAAATTAAACAACACTAGTTTACCTTGTTTGGCAAAAGTAATTTTTGGTTTTACAACCCCAAAGCAACACTAATTAATTTTAAACTTACAAAACAAAGATTGTACTCACCAGGAGTGTTTTTTAGCAAATTTGAATAACTTGTTTATAGTTAAATGATTTTACTTAAATAATCCCTTTGCCTGGATTCCTTACAGACACTCCCAAAGGAATGGCTGCAAAGAAACCAAGAATTTTTTTCTTTTATACCTTTTTTTTTAACATTTACGTAGTGTTACTGCTTAATTTTTTCCAGTAACTACAGAGTTAACTCTTTTACTTTCTTTTTTTTTTAACTTCCTTAAACTGCGGTTGCCTGCTTGTCTGGGCCCGATCCTTTTTTCTTGCTGGTTCACTTTTTTTCCATGGGCACAGGCATTGTTTTACTACCAATTCAGCAAGGAGGGTGAGCTTTTTGGCTAACCCCCCCTTTTATTTATTTATACTTTTTAGCTAAATTAAGGAGGTGATTAATTTAACACTATAATATTTACTGAATGATCAAACAACACAGGATTACTGCGATAAGCCCCACATTGTTTAACCACTCAGCAAACACCGCAGCGAGGTTCCCATGGCCAGAAATGCAGGTGAGCAGTTTTTTTCTTTTTCCTTCTCCCCTCCCAGGGCCCTACACCAAGCCCGGCAGACTTGTAGTGTTTCTGTCGGTACCAGATGCAGCACCCCGACCGGGGACAACACGAAGGGCTCAATTCACCTCAATTCTATATACATATAGTGAATTAAATTTAGACAATGCAACCCCCACCTCGTACGGGAGGATTAATTATTTAATAAAGCAACTGCTATTATACAGAAAGAACAGTTAAACAAGACTAGAATACTGCAGTAAGCCCTGGTCTCCTTTCCAGGCGAGACCAACTCCCCAAGCCTCCTTTACAGGAGAGGCCAACTCCTCAACATTCACACCAATGGGGAGGATTTATAAGGGAGGTCCTCGCACACACCCCTTTCGGCAAAGAGCACCGGCCCGTCTTTTAAAGGAACGGTGTAGGATACCCTATTGCCTCCGGTATGGCGGGCGATTTCCAGGGATTTCCCCTCTCTCCGAGCAAGGGGAGGGAGCCCACGGCTCCAAAAGGAAGATGTGGGGTAAGGTTTTGGTCGTGGGTCAACCACACAGAAGGGTTAGGAAAGGCGCGGTCCCCGCACACCCCTCCCCCAGCAGAGAGCACCGGCCCGCCTTCAAGAGAACGGGATGGATTACTCTACTACCTAGGAGTACGTGGGCGGTTTCCCAGGGCCTCCCTGCTCTCTGAGCAAGGAGGGGCTCCTCAGCACTTCAAGGGAAACAGGGGTAGGGTCACCTCACGGCTCACAATCACACAGCACACCTAATTCGGGATCTCTGTTACGGCATCTCTCACCACTACCAGCCTATTGCTGGTGGGAGCTTCCTGCCACCCCCCTCAGCTGCTCTGGGACTCCCTGGATTTCCGGCCTACCCACGGTAGGATCCAGGGATTTCTTGGATTTCCTGCCCAACACACCGTGGGATCCACTTTTTCCCAGGGTCACCCAGCAGCCGGTCAATCGTCCTCCGGGGGGACCAGTCCCCGAAGTCCGAACCACATAAAGCAGCTGACTAACACAAAGTAGGAAGCTATAAAAGCAAGGCACAGGAGCTTGGCGTACTCCTTGTCCTCGTCAGGTATCAGCACATAATAAACAAATTCCCCCTCCTTATGGGGCCAAACGACTTCCCCGTTCTTATCGGGACCAGAAACCTTAATCTACACTCTCTCACGCTGTCCTGGAGTCAGTGACTGTTTCCTTTATGTCCCGGGGAGACCACCCAGCCTATTCAGCCTCTGTTCCTGCCTGAATAATCTCCTGTCATCCAAAACTTGTTTTTATACTGGGCTGGCACTCTAAAAGTGTTTAACTGCCAGACGGATGTCCCAGTAATTTCACCGAGGCTGTCCCAAGGAAACCGTTGGGTCTAAGACCCACAACACAAAACAAACAGTTCCCGACGCCCCCCCTCGCTTATAGCCTAAGTAAACAATGATAGAGATAGTGCAGCATGATGCAAGAGATTAAACAGCAGCCTGCCAAGTAAGTCTGCCAAGCATCAGTCAATTGAGTCTGCTTTAGCAAAGTTCAGATCACAGCGTACCCACCCCGAGCCAGAGCCTACAGGCAACTTCCCACCGAAGCCCAAATAGAGACAATGGTCTCTTACCTGGCGCCTGGAGTCAGTGTGGAAGCGGCCTGCGGTCCTCCCACCCGGAGAGATGTCGAGTGATCCCGGACGAGCCCCCAAATTGTTGTGGAAAAAGTCACCCACGCATTGATTTTAGTTCACAGACTCAAGCCTGAGGCTAGTTTATTGCAATACATACCAACGCGTTGGGATGACAGTCCGAAAACTGTCATACCCAGCAGCAGCTTGCAGGCTGCTTTATTCCGTCAAACCGCAAGCATATTACAAATAATACGTCATTTATGCGAAAATAAGAGTAGGGGTCTGTTCCTTTTTCCTGGTAGCTTCCTCATTATTTACGAGAATTTGGGTGCCTATTAGGTGGGGGTTTCTTGGTGGTTTTGACATGGGTGGTACTTGGCACCAGTTGGGGTGTTGTTTTTCGTCAGGGTACATATTGTTCTCTGGGGGGGGGGGGCATAGGAGTTTATTACAGGACGCCCAAAGATGATATATGATTGGCTGGTGGCAGGTAGCTGGAACAATAGGAGGAGTTGGCCTTTACTAGAAGCAATTTTTTCATATAAGCTGTTACTATGTTTCATCAATGAGCAGTAATCATGTTTTCCCATCAACCAGTGGTTATCATGTTGCTAAGGCCTTTCGCATGGCTTCCTTCCCCTCCCTCCTCTGGTCATGGCCCATGACCGTATTTGGCAGGGGATTGCACAGCCTAGTTTAGTTCAGGTTCTGGCCTGTACTGCCTTACGTAAAGGCCATCTGTGTAGTCAGCTTCTGTCAGAAGGCCTGAATTTGGGCCTTCGGTGTTACTTTGGTTGTCATTAAGAAGGCTACCTAGTTCTTTTTCCCCACACCTTCAACCTAAGAGGCAAGTTGTGTTCTTTTCTTCTTGTATATCATCGTCAGTAAAAGGGTTGTGAAAGCCAAGTTCTGCTCTCAGTGACACCTGAGCCATCCCATTATCTTTAATGGTCTGACAGAGATTGGCCTATAGAATTTGATAGGGATTAAAGTAATAAGATTCTATAGAAATTCAAGAGTTCTCTATACAGTCTCTACTATTGATCACTTTTCTGAAGCATTTTAAATCAACCTGAGACTTTATTAGAGAATTACATCTGTTCTATAGACTTTTTTTAGATTGGTTTAAAAATTCTGTAGAACTATGGTCATTGTCTATTAAATTCTATAGGACTTTTCCATGATGGAAAAGTTACTTTTTTCACTAAAGTAAGCAGAGGTGAGTGTCAGAGTAAGAAGGTGACATTTTTACACAGTCACTTTTCATACCGGAACCACACTTTAAAATATCATCCCTGAGCCAGACATGTTGAGGCTTTTTGTCTTTCTGTTTTTAATTCATAGGTTCCAAAAAGTAAGTGTGAGGAGGCTGTAAAGGTGGCTATGGAAGCTGGCTACCGCCATATAGATGGAGCCTATCTGTATGAGAAGGAGGTTGGGCGAGCCATTCGAGAGAAGATTACAGATGGAATGGTCAAAACAGAGGAAATATTTTACCCAGGAAAGGTAAGTTGGTTTTGTTCTAAATGCCATCACTTGCTCTCTGCGTCTTTCTGTGTTGCTTTTCAGCAGCAAGAAAACAGTGACTTCAGTGAGGGGGTAAGTACAAGTTGTAGCAGGCTGACAGGATTTGCCTGAAACACCCTTCTTGTTACCAAAGGTGCTAATCTGTGGGGAAAGCGTTATATGCATTAGTGTCAGCTGGAGCTTTAGCAGGCCTGGTGCCTAGATAGTTACCAGATAAAAACTACATTGAACTGAAGTGAAGGGTGAGTACGTGTTAGTAACCTAAGAGTAAAAGCATTACGGGGATGCTGTAATTATCCCAAAACCAATCATTACAGACCAGGTGATAGAGATTTAAGGTTACACTTCAAAGAAATCCAAATATGTTAAGCTATGGAAATGCACAGGTTAGGCACCTAAACAATTTTAATTCCTCCAACCGTAATTATGTATGCCATAGCCATAGAATTAGGATTAGTTCATTGTTTGTGGTCCCAGACTGCACTAATTTGATTTTGAAAGACACATTAGATGTTTCCATTTTCTACCCTCATGTTATGAATGTTCATTTTTAATACTGCGGGGTATGATGACGCAACATTCATTGTCAGGGCACCTATACACATTGTATATAGGTGTCATTTTATTATTTAAATGTAAATAAAATAATGCATACTATGCTGTATATCAGTGACATTTCATCCCTGAGATATAGCAGAATAAAGTTATTTAGGGAATCAGCCTTCTCAACATACAAATCTGATGGCATTTGTTCTCTCTTCACTCTTTACAGCTTTGGAGCACATTTAACACTCCTGAGATGGTCCTCTCAGCCCTGGAAAAGTCACTGAAGTGCCTGCAGTTTGACTACATTGCCCTTTGTATTATTCATACACCCCTATCTTTAAAGGTAAAAAGGAGTTCTGTCTTAACACTGCAAAATCCTTGTCTCCACAGTTCCCCTTTTGCTTTAAGACAAGACCATATGATAACTGCTTGATTCAGAAACATTGCTATAAGGAACAAGGAGCTTTACTAAACAATTTCCCCATGTATATTTCTTCCAGATCAGATGTAAAATGGGCTTTAGTTTATATTAGAGATACGGAGATAATCAAGAGAACTAATGGACTGAACATCCATCAGGTTTCAGAAAGAACTTTGCACTTAATAATAAAGGTTAAATGTGCTGTGAATATTGAGTTACCAACATGTCGCAATAGCTCAATAGATTTCCAGAATTTCTCCAGAAAGCAATTCATGTCAAGTGTCATACCAAAGGGAAGTTTATCTAATGAATTTTTTTTGTTTTCTTTTTAAGTCTGGAGATGATTTACTCCCAGAGGATGGAAAAGGAAAATTGATTTTTTACAGTGTAGACCTGTGTGCCACTTGGGAGGCAGGGCAGCTAGTTAAGTGAAATGTATTTTCACTAGTAAACGGAGCAGATTTGAGGGGGAAATCACTGAGAGACAACAAACATGAAACCTCACATGCCATTTTTACAGAATCACTTTGTAGAGCAGAACCACACTTTGAGATGCTTTTGGCCTTCCCTGGTCTTAGGGCAGGGATATTGCCAAAGGCATTTTCAGGGACAAAATTGTAGTCTGGGCTTTACAGGTGATGTTTTCCACAGATGAGAAATGGGATATTCTGCCCTAGAGTCAGCCAAGACGACGACTCCATCAGATCCCTAATTCTTTAGCTAATGCTCTGAGTAGCTCAGCATTGCAGCTTATTAGCTGGGCAGATTGTCAACACTGAAGAGCTAAACTCAAAGTCTGTCCACGCTTACCCACATTACAAAATCCACCGCTCAGTTTAATACCATTGGCGCTTTTAGGAAGAGAGGCCAGAAATGAAATACAAAGGGGCATCAGGTCAGAATCAAGGTGCATTGGCAGAGCTTTGGGGAAGTTAGCATAGTGTCTGCTCACATTATCCCTGGTTCTAACTGCTGCTATTGGTTCCTCATTTTCTTGAGCACTAAATTAACTTCCTCATTTAAAAACAAAAAACCCAAAACTTCCCTTGTGATATGTGCCCTCTCTTCAGTGGACTCTAGCAAGCTTTTTCTATGAAATATAAAAGTAAACAGGATTTGGCTACAGTATCATTGTTATTGTCGCACTGCTTGTGATCTGAGACTCTGCAGTCATTTCCTATTTTCAGAGCAGGGAAACACTGGCGCATCTCAGACACCACAGCATGGGTACTGTCAGTAAATACAGACATTCTAACGGTGACCACTGCACTTGTCCCTCTTCAGTATTTCTTGTGTTTTCCCTTTAATTTTCATACTCAATTATTTTTTTGCTGTAAAACTCTTAAACTGGTGTTCGTAGTCCCATACTTATGTGGTATCCTTATTTCTGTATTGTTCACTAGCAATGATTGGGTATTGCTATGTCTTTGAGGTTCTGTATGTGTAAGGGACAAATTAGAGAGAAAGCGACTGGGAGAGGTGGTGGCCAGATTGTCTGTCTACTTTCTACTGGGGGAAAAGATAACTTTATTTCAGTGGTTTGGATGGAGATCTGATGCCTAAGTGAATGGTTAAAAAATGACTGTCTCTAAATCAGAGTTTTGTTCTAGAACAAATCAAACGTCCCCTACTGTATGTGTAATGATATTTTGGTGGAATAATTTTATATAGAGTGAGTCCACTTGAGCATAATTTTTCTAGTCTCATGGAAATTATACTAAAAGTATAGTTGTATACAACGAGGCCGTTGTTGTTTTCCCCAGGCCATGGAGGCATGTAAAGACACAGGGTTGGTGAAGTCCATTGGTGTGTCCAACTTCAACATCAGACAGCTGGAGATGATCCTGAACAAACCAGGGCTCAAGTACAAACCTGTTCTCAAACTCTGACCTTTGGATGGAGACCTAAAAGTGTTGAGTTAGAAGAAATTCAGAACTTGTAGTCAGTAAAGAGTTTCATTTATGGGAAAAAAGCCTCAATGCTTAAAGGAAGCAGACACTCCAGAATGTCTTTCTCAGCAGGAACTTATGTCCAGCCTTTCTTTTAAATCAAAAGGGAAACTTCCTTAATACTCCACTTCAAGTAGACCCAACCCACAACAGTTAGACACTGATATTGAACTCCTCAGAATTTGTGAGGGTTTGGACCAGCTGACAGTAAAGACAGGGCCCATTAGCAAATACAGATTTAGGTTCAAGTTTTGAAAAAAACATAGTTCTATGTAGCATGGAACAAGGGCTTTGTTTGTGCCCATCCCTGAATTCATGGAAAAACTTATGAAAATTGGGAAAGAATAAAGTAGAAAATAAATTAAAGGAAACGGTGTTTGAGAGGGGCAGGAGAAAGAGAGGCCCAGATGCTTCCCTGCATATCCAGATATCCTCTCCTGCTACCTCATTCCCCTGCTATGGGAATGGACTTTCAGAGCATCAGCCTTTCTCTGCTTGGAATGTGAGAATGTCATGGTGCAAAAGTTATCTAGATACCACGTTATCCAAACTCATACTCGGAAATGTGGCTTTCAGACAGTGGGCTCAGAGAGAGATGATTCGGATGGACTATGTTGGTTTTTAATCCATTTGCCTACCCTTCATATAGATACCCAGATGTATTCTATAGACTGCTTACCCAAGCCCCACGCTCAGCTAGCCTGAGCCCACTGACGGTCCTCCCTCCCCCACCCGGCACAGCGCTCAACCGAGCCCCTCTCCCTTTTCACCTCCTCCATGCGGCGCTGAGCTCCCCCTCTTCCCTCTCCCCCTGTGCAGAGCTGGCCCTCTCCCTTCCCCCATGTGGGTTGGCCCAAGTCCTGCCACTCACCCCCCCTCCCCCCAAGCTCTTTTTTGGGTTGGCTCAGTGGTTTGAGCATTGCCCTACTAAACCCAGGGTTGTGAGTTCAATCCTTGAGGAGGTCATTTAGGGAACTGGGGTAAAAATCTGTCTGGGGATTGGTCCTGCTTTGAGCAGGGGGGTTGGACTAGATGACCTTCTGAGGTCCCTTCCAACCCTGATATTTTATGATTCTATGAAAACTGGGCATTTGTCCCATATGCTCTTGCCAAAAAAATTGGGATGTCTAGGGCCAAAATGGGATGTATGGCCACGCTAGGCCAGGGGTCTCCAAACTTTTTCTGTCATGCCCCTCCTTACCCAGTCCGTGCCCCGACCCCAGGAACCAGGGCCAGGAGTGGGACTGGGTCTGCAGTCAGGGACTGTGAGTGGGGGTGCGGCAGGGAGCAGAGCCACAGCTGGGGCTCGGTGTAGCCAGAGCGTAGCCGGGCGGTAGGGCTGGGCCCTGCGTCGCCCCACCAAACATTTCTCCATGCCCCCTAGGGTGGCATGCCCCACAATTTGGAGACTACTGCCCTAGGCTGTGGTAAGAGTTGCCCACAGAGCCCGGGCAGCTGAGGGGACCCCAGGACCTTGCACCTGCCTTGGGTAGGGGACCAGGGGGCCCAAGACCAGCCCTTGTCCCTGCCCCACAGGGCGCACCGCCCAGGGCAGGTGGAGGGTCCAGGGCTCTCCACAGTTGCCCGGGCTCCCTGGGCAGCTCTTACCATGGTCCAGCTTCTGACCAGGCCAGGGGGCGGGGACTTCGGGGAAGGGGAGGAGCAGGGGGTGGACCCCAATGGTGGGTGGGGGGAGCGGGGAGAAATGTTCTTTGTGCCCGGGGCCCCAATATATCTTAATCCATCCCTGAAATATCCAAAATAGAGTGGAAAGAGCAGACCAGGATTATTATACCGTCTTTCATTTCTTTTGGCTCAGCATGAGGCTTGTGTTTCTGTAAATGCACATTCATCCTGCAGGAATAACCCAATGTTTGATCCTGTCTTCTGGGTCAGGTCTTTGACTTCCAGCTCTCTGAGGAGGACATGAAAACCATTGGTGGGATGAACAAAAACCGTCCCTATGTGCATTTAAAACAGTAAGTAGGGTGACCAGATGAGAGGAAGAAAATATTGGGACACATGGGGGTGGGAGGTCCTGCCACTGGAGCAAAAAAACAAACAAACCCGGAAGTGC